CCCAACACTCACTACATCTTACTTTAAGCTTATTATACCAACACTCACTACACTAACAAGGTTTCACGGCACCCCACCCCATGGCCCCCTTGCAATAAAATCATAATGGGCAGACAGTAATCAAACTATTCAATCTCAATAAGTGCATTTTGGCTTTTATGACTCCTCTTATTTTGAGAAAACAAGAGTGATGTGACACACACTGGCTTTTATATAGGTTATGATTAAATATACATTAAAATCAGAAAAGTACCAAGATATGTCAATTAATGTATATGTTTAAAAGTATTTTAGTTTACTGCATTTAGAAGTTATTAATCAATGTGTTAAAGATCTATTATAAGAACTTTATTATAGTATTCAGATCTAGAGTATACAAAATATTAATGTTATACAGTACCACTAACATTACAATATATGAGAAAAGTCTAATGTTTTTAATTCAAAGCAACTGAATGTGTGTATGTATCAGACACAATATTATCACATACATTTAGATATTAATTTTACCTCGTTCAATAAATCTGAAGTACATAACAATCCATACACCTAACTTGTTTCATACGTAATGCTGTTTTACAAATGGTGCAGTGTATAATATAGAATTCATCATGCTTTGTTGAAAGACAAGTTTGTAAGCAAATTTACTGATTACAAACAGAACCTTTAACAAACTATAAAACTACATAAAGCTGATAGATGAAAGTGACAACTTACCAATACCCAAACGTCTGTATGGAGCAAGACAGCCTAACGTCATGATGTAAAGACGCCTAGAATTGTCCGAGTTATCTACTCGACAGCATACTGCTCCCACAATAATGTCATTATAATAAGCTGGAAAACATGTAGACAGCTGACAATCAGATGTACATGATTATCTAGTCATTAAAATATTACAGAAAGAAACTTCAGTCTTCTATCAATACAGGAGAAAATTAAGAGACAGAGAATGTCAAATGAAATCAATTTTCAGTAGTAATGCTCCATTGGGTTCCTTTTATTTTGTGCAGTGTACATGTATACTTCAAGAAATAATCAAAATATTTATAACAATATTTAACTTAGTTTACACAAACTTCTATAATTTAATTAATAAGTGTGTCACACATCTTAATATTAAATGTGAAAATAAAACAAAATATGATAGTAAATATACATTAAGTATGTGTATGAAAAAACTAAGTGTGTGTAAAAAATGTTTGTTAAAACATTCTCAAACAGTTGACAAATAAACACATTTATATGAATATAATTACAGAATAATTTAGACTTAAGGTGAGCAGTGGATATTCTCTAGTGTAATTATAAGTTTGCCTATGTAAGGTGAGCAGTGGATATTCTCTTCAGTGGATATTCTCTAGTGTAATTATAAGTTTACCTATGTAAGGTGAGCAGTGGATATTCTCTAGTGTAATTATAAGTTTACCTATCTCACCTTACATAGGTAAACTTATAAATGTCTACTACTAAATGCAATAAGAGTACATAATAATTTTTAGTATTATATATTACTATCACTTAATGTGTGTGATATTTGAAAAACTTGAGTTAACATATATTAGTACTTGATAACATGTTTAACTGCCTAACGAAGTTACGCGTACTAATACTGCTGTAATAACATTAGTAAAATGTTCAAGTATAAGTTTGGACTGATATTGCTAGATCCATTGATTTGCAAGGAATGAAAGCATTATTTGGTTGATAGGAATTTCTAAAGTTAAATAAAAGTCTGATATGTAAACAAAGATTTCATTTTCATTTACCCTTTTGAGTAAATATAGTCTTTAATAAGAATTATATACAAATTACTACAAGTCCTGAACTTAGCATCCAAATATTTCTAAACAGTATTATCTAATAGTCTGAAATTTTCATAAGATTATGCCAAATTGGTCTTTAAATGACATTTGATGAGAATGAGCAGAGGAAAAAATCTGAAATGTACTCTGAGTCCAATGCTGGGCATCAAAATTTCACATCATGCTAAGGAAGTCTGGTAGTATGTCTCTCCCCCAAGAAAAAGTTTGAAAAATTAAAAGTTTCCTGGAGAATACTCCTGTTTAATTGTTTTTATATGTTTTACAGACATGATTCCCTTAAATTTTACAGTAAATTAGCTAAATCTGGATAGTCATTTGACAGTTCTGTGTTTAGTTTGAAAGTCATTTGCACGTCACACATAAATGTTTTCCTGGGAAATCAACCATTTTTAACAAATCCTTGTAGCTTATACTTCACTGCTTTTGGTTCTCCATAAATCTCACTTGAATCTGTTTCAAACTGAACTATTAACTTCTCTAGATACTCGATACTCTTTGTCATTTTATGACTTCATTTCATTTTGAAATTTAAAGTAATCTACACATGATTAAACTTTGTAGAATGGACGGCAACTGCCTGTTGTAGAAACACAAGTGTAGAGGACAATGTTTCGAAAGTTTTCTGCCTTTCGTCTTCAGGTCAGTGTGTATGTAAGGTGTTGTCAGTCTTTATAGTATTCAGAATAGTATTCTTCCGCCTTTCGAAACGTCATCCTCTACATTTGTAGGTTTCTACAACAGGCAGTTGCTGTCCATTTGAAACTTAGATTCATTAGAAATTTCATGTTTTTATTACAAAAACTTTCAGAATTCCATTGAAATCAAGACACAGTTTGTGATGTTTAAATATCTAAGAACTTTATTTTCATATTCTAAACTTACCTAATTTTGCTAGTTCTCCTGCTTCAAGCACATCTTTATAGAACTTGTCATTATAAATAACTGGGAAGACAACCTGGTTGAGCTTCTTTAGCTGTCTAATATTATGGGGTGTAACATCTCCAAGCTCAATCCTGCCACCTCTGGAATTATACACATTTAAACAAGAAACATAAAGTCACATGTTTATAGCATACATCACATTATACAACTGAATTGGCTCAATGAGTAGGGCCAAGGATGTCAACTCGCAGGTTTCTCATCCTGGAATCCTACATTTTTTATATATCCACTTATTCCTTCTGTTCCAGTATCATCTGCCTCTTTCCATATCAGAATAATGAGTTTGTACGATATCTTCATACACTCTCTCTACCTGCAGTAATACATCTTTTCCTTTAGTTGATTCTCATACCATACACCACTTTTCTCCAGTGTTAGGAGAATATAACAGTAGGAGTAACTACCTCTTAAGGTGTTTGAATTTGGAAAAAGAAATGTTACTTTTATTAATCCAGTTAGAATCCTTACAGTAAGATAAAGGTGTCCCATTAGACAAACATGTTTACTGATTACATCCAAACAAGTTTGTATCTGAAAGATTTCATGGCTCTGCCTGTTTTATAGGTAATGGACACAGCCTATAAACTAGAGACGGGGGCGATTTACCTAGAGGTGCTGAGTAACTCAGCACTGAATGTTATAATTATTATCTTTAATTTTAAATCACATGCAAATAATAATGTCACAGACATGGATTAATACTTTACACAGTTCTTACAAATGTGCCATAAGCATGAGCTATTACTTTATAGAATTCTTAATAATAATGTGTCACAAGTATGGGTTATTACATTATTTAATCCTTTATGTGGTTATGTTTTTCTCCATAACAACATCAATGTTAGGAGAAATGTAGGAATATAACAGCAACTATCTCCTTAAATATTAATTCACTGCTAAAGTGCTAATTTCAAATACAAATATTACTTTTGTTACTAAAATTACAATAATGTGAAGACAATGTTCTAAATATCTAATACTCTTCTTTTATCATCTCATAAGATTAATTTCTTAAACAACAATGGAATTCATTAGCAAGTGAGACTACTTAATTTTGAAAGATAAGAACACTAACTAAAACACAATTTGGTGAATTTCTTTGTACAAGTTAAAAATTATTCTAAAACTATTCATTATTACTCATTTTGTTTTCATCTTCCATTAAATGCTTCCTTTACTGACTGTTAAAAGCATGGAAGTATTTTAAATTGTACTGAAGTTTATAGCTTGATATATAATACACTACAAAATGTGAATGTTCAAATACTGCAGTGAACAATCTGCCTGAAAGAATATTAACATAAGAAAATACAAACGATGTATAAACATGCACACCCCATTTGAAATATAACCTAAGTGTCCAGGTGAAACACATTTGGCTTGGAGAACAACCATTATCATAGTACACTATTCACTGACAAAATAAAATGAAAAGTTTTGAAATGCAGTTTTTACTCTGCCAATCAACTTAATTTTCTATCTTCCATTGTTTTGTTTTCTAAGTTCGTCAGATGTATATTTTAAGCACATTTAATAAGAAAGAAATTTTTTCAAAGTTTCAAACTTTTCTTATATCTACACATGAAGACAGCAAACCTTTGTTTATTGGTGCAGAAATTTGTACATACAAAGATATTTTGCATAAATTGTACAGGTTTGATATATTATCATTTTACCTTTGCTGTTTTTTACAGCATAACTGTTACACTTGCTTTCTTTCCCCAATTGCATTGCTTATTATCTTATCTAGAAAAATACTCTTAATACATTTATTTGATTTAATAATTGGAAAATAAAAAACTAGCATAACAAAACATGCTTGTTGTATAAACATGTACATTTAATTCAAAAATATCACTAGTTTCCAGGTAAGATTCATCTGGCATGGAGATTTATATGGAATAAAGCTATAGTTGGCATTCAGACTAATTGAAGATATATTTCTTTTGTGATTGACAGTATTAGGGATCTGTTCGATGTGTATTTTTGCAAATTTTACATTTGGTTTAATGATTTTAAAATCAGAAAAAATTCATTCAACATGTGCATAATTTATGGAGATTCCTCTTTATTAAACAATATCTGATATCAAGCACCATGGTAAGTCTTAACTTCTAATAATATAAACAAAGAAATTTGGAAAGAGTTCCATATAGCATCCCCACCCAAAAATTGTAG